AGCTTATTTGTCAAGTTAATAAAAAATTTCACGTGTAAATTATAACCAATCACAGTTCATGTTGTTTACTAAAATTTTGACAAATTGTAAAGAATTTCTGTCATGCTTCCCTCACCACGAGTGGGTCATAGTTGCGACTTTAATATCAAATAGTATATATTGGAGGTTCTGAATTTGTTAATAATATTTTTCATGAAGTAGATTCTAATCAAATTTATCTTTATGATACAAATTAGCTTCTTGGTCATTTGTGGTATGTAGGTTTATATTGTTATAAATTATTTTGTAAAATTTATATAATGATTTTTTTTTAATTTAATAAAGCAAGCAAAAAGTGATAGTTTAATTGAATCCCGCGCTTCCCATTCAGCTGTATTAGGTAAATTTTTTGTAAAGAAAAAATTTATTTCTGAATTTTAATAGTTTATTGTAACTCAATATACCGTTTATTTTAGCTCCTGATGGAAGAATTATCGTTTATGGTGGGGAACAAACAACTTTATTAAAGTTACTCCAAACTTGGCAATATTAGATATCCATAAATCTCCATTTGTATGGACTGTACCAGAAGTATCATCGAATGTTGGTGAAGTTCCGTCACTTGTTTTTCATACGGCAAATTTATATGGTAATTATATGATTGTTGCTTTCGCTAAGTAATTATTTGTCATAGTTTTATTTTTGTTATTTTCTTTGAAGTTCAAGAATATAATATTGTATTATATGCAATATTACTCGACCAAATGTTAAATCATTCGGAACGAGTTCAAAAATTTATTTGTTAGATATTAGAAATTATACTTGAGTTAACAGGTTTAAACTTGACATTACACCCTCAAATAATTCAATATCGAAATCTCCTTTAACACCGTCAGATCAATCGGATCAATTAAATTAAATAAAGGTTATAATTGGTGCAATGAGTGGAATTTTCGGCACCGCAATTTTTATAACGGTTGGAATTTTTAGCTACGGGTGGTATCAAAAAAGGAATCAACATGATAAAATCATGAGAATTCCTGGCAGTGCTATATAATGAAGTTTTTTTATCATTATTATAGGTTATCAATTATTTATGTCACTATATGCTAGCGTTCGGACACGCATATTATAGGTTATTTTTTTTTAGGAAATAGTCGTATAATGTTTTGGATTGCCTAATTAATTATTAACTATACTAGTTTATTAAATTTTATAATCAACTTAAAACTAACAATTAATACAGAGAAAATAAGGACTTATAGCAACTTAAGCTAAAAATGATTCAAAAATCAAATTTCGCAAGACCAGACCATAAATATATAAAGTTTATTACTGTTAGATATTATTAACATAGGGTAGATTCACGAATTTTTGTTCTGTAAAAAAGCAGCTTGTAAATAGTCTATTAATCGAAATAATAACAATGAATCTTAAAACTGATGATGTTATATGATTTCAGAATATGAAAAACGTGAAAGTTTTTCATGTATATAGTGTATATGTTGCATAAGTTGCCGTCTAAATCCTTTAAAATGTTGTACAACTTTTAAAATTAGACTTTTAATAATAATCAAATTATCATAGTCAAAACAATATGTTGACACGCTTGTTATAAAAAACATTTAATTCCTTTAAATATAAAACTAAAAAATTAATTAATTCAAAAAATCGCTAAAATATAAAAATTCGAAGAACAAATGAGATACTCAAAACTATTGTATAAAAATTAAACGATAATTTTTTCTTAGTGTAGAAATGAATTTCATATTAGTTTCACTTGAAATACTTCATATTCTTCTATAGAAAAATAATTCGTAGTTTCTCTGATTTCTTTTTCATAAGAACACATTATGCATTGGCTCTTACTAAAAAATTTATCTCCATATATTTTAATGTCTGTTTTACCAAATGATGGACCATTATACACCCCATTTTTTATAGCATATTCATTATATTTCACTCGACTTAGAATACGATTTTCAAAGTTATTTTTAGTGTTAAATGAGAATATAAAACTTTCTTTGGTATAACTATAAAATGTCCACACTCCAGGTTTCCATGAAATAGGATTGTACCCTCCAAGAATTTCGTTTTTGTCTTTTACTTTAAAAATCGTAACAGTACGAGCTTGATTATCGCAGATTTTGTGAAAGCTTTCACACGTAAATCCATCACGAGATCCGCGAAGTAATAATTTAAATTCATATTCATATAGACTTTCAAATTCATCTTTATTATCTATACCATTAATCCATTTTGAGATTAATTCAGCATGTTCATCTGTAATAATTTTTGAATCAATTTTTTTCGAGTTAATCCTTCTGATCTCTTTTTTAATATTCTGAGGTTTTGATTCGTCACTTAGCTTATAATCATTATCTAAAAACCGTTTAACCAAATCTAAATATAATTCCTTTGGTAATGCTTTCCTGTATGGAAAAACTTTGATCAAAAATTCCCTGGAAGTTAAATTATAGAATCTAATAAATGGAATGCATTGTCGTATGGTATTCTTCAAAACATTGAAGTCATTTTTTGTATATTCAGAAGGATCTGAAGAAATTTCCGGATTTTGAGCGATTCCCCATTTAAGTACACGTTCCCAAACTTGAACATCACTCATTAAAAGTTTTTCATTTTGAATGATTGAAATCAAAGTGTTTTCTGGAATTGAAACAAAATCAACGGATTTGAATATTTTTTCCGGTTCCTTAGACATTAAATTGGTACAATATTTTTGAAGTTGCAAGAAAGATTTATGTTTAAAACTTGTTTGATATATCAAATTAAAATTTTGTTGCATCCATGTTGCCTTATTTTCAATCAAAAATGATTGTAAGTGTATGACTAATTCTTGAAGACTTAATTCACTGGCAGCGACAAGGATATTTATGATATCTGAAGTATCATATCCTTCCAAAGAAAGTTTTGCGCCGTAAATATACCTTAAAATAAAAAAATTATTTTTGTAAATTCAATAAATAATTTTTATAAAAAAAAAAGATTTCAAAATACCTCAAAATTTCATGAAAACATTCTGGCAAAATATTTGGTAATTTAATATGTACCAAAGTTCCATCATTTCTCTTTTTATTAGCGGACAAAGCTCTTTGCAAATAAGGAGAACGATAATATAAAATTATCATATGAGCGCGAAATATTTTTACATATGGATCCTTTCCAACTTCAATCGTAACATCATAATATTCATTATCCTCTAAACATTCGAGTAGATTTTGTGATAGTCTTGGTAAAAACTTATTATCAGCCATTATATTCGGTCAAAATATATTATAATGAATGAAGAAATTCTATCTAATTTTGAATTCAAATAAATATTTTTTTTTTTAATGAACTTTTCCCTAATTGGAAATAAATTGTAAGAATTTCTATTGTTTTATACGATTTTTACGCCCAGAATTAGCTTACTGAAGGTTGTTACACGATTTAGATAATTCAGGAAATTCAAAAAATATTTTTTAATTTCTATAGGTCTGAAAATTCTTTTATAATAAATCATTATATGTAGAAAGTTGGATAAATTTGTTTAAAAATAATTATAGAAGTAATCTTCAAATGAATTAAGCTTTATTAATGAACGATTAAAAACTAAATAAAATGTGAATTCCAATATAATTTAGAATTCGTTCAGGAGTTCGAGATATGTAAAAAAAAAATTTCAGCGTCGTATATAAGTAAAGTCGTTTAAGAAAAGCAATTCTAAATCAACATGCAAGATTAGCATACTTAACATTGGTTATAATGCGAATGACGGACGAATTACGTCATCGGACCTACATGACAAAAAAAAAGAAATCTTCACTTTACTGTATATGTTTAATATGAATTTTTAAAATAAGTCCAGATTTTATATGTATTATATACTGTAATATCAAAAAACGTATATTTATATAACAAATTAAACAACATATGAAAATAAATAAATCGAAAATCTATTATCCAAAGCCTAAAAAAAAAATAAAATAAAAATAAAAATAAACCCTTTATTGAGAAAACACCTATTTAAAAAATCACTCGACAGTTGCAACACAATTGTTATCAATGATGAAGAGTTCCTGATGAAAATCTTAATAAAGGATGTTATAAAGAAAAAAAGTTAAAATTGTCATCTTAATGTATAAAATTATGTGATAAATATTTTATTTTTGAATTTTGAATTTTGATATGGATCTTTAAACATTCACTTTATAAATATTTGTTGGTTATTATTATTTAGAGCAAGTAATGTTTGTAAAATCTCATAAATATCACTACTCTTTACATACGGATTATCTTTTGTTCCCTTTCTAAAAATATTATAAATAAGCAATAATATTTCTTAAATTTATCGCTATTAGTTCAAGTTAACATTAAATAAAAAAAGTAAATTGTCTTTTATACTTTTAAAATCAAATCATAAGAAATTCTAACAAAGTATTTTATAATAGTTTAGAATAAACCCTTGTAAAGTTATAATTTTTTTTTTGTATTGTCATTATTCCACTTCATAATTATCCTTCCTTCATTTAATTTACCCCAGTAATCACATTTAGCTAAATATTTTCGTTTTTCTTCAAAGCTTAATCGAAATAATTAAATTTTGTGAAGTTAAAAATGACGTTAATAAAGGAATTTTGTTCACTATAAAAAGTTTCCGTTTTCTGGCGGAAAATAATTGTAAATTTTTTCTGTTGTCACAGATTTTATTACCATATTCGAGTATTAAAATTACAATATTATATATATATATATATATATATATTATAAAAACTTAAAAACCATGAATTTTTAATATAACTGGAAATTCTTCTACATTGGACATTTAAATTAAAAGAGTTAAATTTAACGCACAACAATACAATTTTATAATATTTACTATTCTCAAATTTTTTTATTTCGATTAATTCTTATTTCTTTTAAAAAAAAAAAAAAATTAAACGAGATTTGATAGTTGATTATTTTTCAGTTAATTAATTGCAAAATATTTCTTTTAACATTGATATCAAATCATTGTGTGATCATAAAGAAAATTCTAATTTAATCAAGAAATATCGACGGACTTCTATTAGCTTGTCCATAGTTCCAAGTCCTTTATTAAGTACGTCAATTTCTGAATTTGTTTTTCAAAAATAAAATATTTTTTTATTCCACTGAACATTAAAAAGATTTTGATAGGAAATTTCATGTCGTACACAAAACACATATTTTTTCATTATTATCTTGCTTGCAAAGTAATAAAGATAGGCTTTGGTTTCACTGTTTTCATTTATAAGTTGTGCAGTCAGTACATTTAATTTTTGATGATTTCCTAAAACACTTTTCTCTTCGAATCGCATCCACAACATTTTATCAATTTTGCTATATTTTTGTTTGGAATTAAGAAACATATACTGTACATATAAATTTTCAAATTTCGATAAGAGATTAAATTATAATATAATTCACGCGAATCATATTTTTTAGAGAGCCATCGGTCGATTTCGGAAATGCTGTAACTACGCTATCTAATTACTTCGTGTCTTTTCGACTCGCAATTATCGTATTATATTCAGCTTCAATAAGAACACAACTTAGGAATACTTGATTCCTAATTAAAGTAACGACTTAGATCATAAATTTAATCGTTGCCAATCTATTAAAATGTTCCGGAAGTGTGCTTTATAATTTAATTTAGGTACCAACTTAAATTTTGGCAATCGATCCAAAAATAGTTTTTTTTTTCTTGAAAACCCAGGTTCCGAATTTGGCAGAATCAATCCAAGATTTGTATCACATGAAAAATAGTCGTGATTATATTCTAACAACCCTTGTTTTAAAGACCAATCTAATTAAACCTTTTTGCATTAAGAAGGTTTAAGATTCCCTTTAATATAAATAATGAAAATTATTACCATTATTTATTTTATCATTACATTTTTTTAAAAAAATTTATGTATCTCATGAAAATATTGATGGAAAATTGATATATTGAAGAATTTCTAATCCAAAATTTTCTCTTGGAAAGAGTTCAAATTTACTTATTACCCTATTCTTTTAAAACGCTATGCCCAACACATGAAAAAAATATAAATCGATAAAAAAGGAGGAATTGATAATAATATCATACCGCAGTAGTGGTTCCAACAAAAATTTTTCCTGGATAATATTCCATTCACGTGACCTAATATAATTTGTCGCTTACATCTTTAAAAACCCTTTCACTTTGTTCTAAGGGGATTGAAATAAGGTTCTCAGACAAAACCCTGAGGTTTCGAAAGGTGGCAAAATCGAAATTAGTTTTGAAGACATACTATAAATTTTTTTAAGGGCAAAAACCGCGAAAGTTTAAACGTAGTAAACTCATCAAAACTTTAGTAAACATTTTCAATCACCTCAAAATAAAATTTCCGGTACTTTTTAATACTTCATTGTCAAAGTCTTATCAAAATTCAATGAAAACCAGCGAAAGCCATTGAAATCCATCGAAATTGTCGAAAGTCGAAATTGTCGAAATACGTTGAAACTCGTCGAAACTGAGAGTTACTTTCGATAAGTTTCGGGCTCTTGGAAAAATGGTATTAGATTTAAATATTAAAAGAATAAAAAATCTTTTATTTTTATTTTATTTATTTTTTTTTTTAAGAAAACTTTCGAACATTTGAAAAAACCCTATTCGTTATCATTCAGCCAATAATCACGTGGAGGAATATTCAGAATTATGACAACTTAGATGTTGACGCATTATGTTTTAGAGAATACAAACATTTAGGTTTAAAAAGCTTTATACGGAGAATAAAGTACAAGATATGGATAAGTTTGAACTATCATATTTCCTCTACGAGTAATTTGAAACTAATGCATGTACTTTTATATATACTAATTTATTCATATTTTTGATTTATTGAAATCTACTTTTCTTTATGTTCCAAATTTTGCTGTCTTACATGTACTTGTAAAAGAATGCTTTTACAATAAATGTAAAATGAACATTATAATTATATCTTTATTGAATAAATTTTTTTTGCTAGTTTTTTTTTAAAAAAAAATCTATAAAGTCTGAACGATTCTCAATATGACGATCACAATAAAATCTCAAAACGATTTATAAAATCTTTATATTGAATTATTGTAAAACATTATAAGTATATTTTTGAATTTAAGAAGTAAGAAATGAATTCTTTTTTTCTTTAATAAAAAAAGTTACAGCACCCAGTATTCCCACGTTGTCCCCAACCGTAGTACTGACTGGGCCATCAGTGGCTTAACTTCGGAGATCGGACGGGTTCCGGTGCTTTTCACTGTGTATGGCCGTAACTGTTTTAATCCGGAAATAATTAATACTTTGATAGTAATTTTCAAAAGAATTACGTTTTAAAAAAAAAAAAATACTTTTTATAAAGATAATAATAAAGTTGCAACAATTTATAAAAAATATTTAACTTAACAAATGATAATAAAAAAAGTATTAATATGTAAATAGATTTTTTATTTATTCTCTATAAAATAGTTTTTTTGAAGTGTGAAACTGCGCCCACAAGACGATCGATTTTGTTTAACGTAAAATGGCCAACAGGTGAAACTTAAATTATTATAATATATATCATAAACTAATTATCTTCGAGTAGAATCACTATCATATTTTATCGAACTTGAGGAACTGGGTTGATTATCTTCTTAGGTTTGGTCAATATAGTTTGCGAGCGATCCCGTCAATCTTTACTATGACGCTACGATGGCATCATGAAAATATAAGTATCGGCACTCATAACATTTGAATTCTTCCAAAAAAATAATTTCATTGATCGTCCAAATGTTAAATCCTGGCAACATATTTTGAGCACTAAACTCATTCCATGCATCAGTTTGCAAAGAATTCATCCTTAATTTTTTATCAGGTTTTGAATTATTTGAATTAATTGTATAAGTTCCGAAGTCCACAAAGATAGACAGAAGTCAAAGAAGTCAAAGATTATTTAATTTTTTATAAAGGTAAAAATATGGGACATTTTGGGATATATTTATGACGCGAATAAAAGTTCGGCGGTGAAACGTAAATAGCTTGATATTAATCTGGGAATTACAATAGTATGTCATCTAGATATGTAGAAAAGTAATTTACTGACTGGGACCTGTAAATATTTTTTTTTTATGTTTTTAATAAAATCTTTGCAGATTTAATTGATGATAATTGTATAATGTTTATTAAATATGATTAATCTAAAATCATGTCGAAGAAGTTGTGAAATTTCTAATAAAAAATATAATTATATTGGTATTCCAAATTTCTTTAATTTTTTCTATCGAAATCGCTATTTCATCTTAAAATTGGTATTTTTCTAATATGGTAATATTGACTCCGTTATTCAATTATAAATATATGTATATAGTTAATGTCACTTCGGTGACGTTAATGTAAATAATCGCTGTACAATTATAAGGCTACACCTGATCATGCTTTATAAAAAGTTTATTAAATGCTAAACTTTTTACGTAAACCATTGTAATGAATAACTACAAATAATAAAATATTGGTAAATACTAGCTCATTAGTGAATAGTGGATTCCTGAAGAATTGATCTTTGAAAAAGAAATTTGTTTCTCATAACTTTCTCCTACTCTACTATCAAGTAATCCAAGTAATCTGTCAAATACTTCAGATCTTGCAGCTAAAATCGTTTTACAACCATGTAATTTCTTTTTGTCCCTGCATATAATCTCTAAATCACTATACTTTGGGTTATTGATTAATAATCTCATATCTTGCTCTAATGAATTTCCTCTTGTCATTTTAGCTATAATTACCTTTTTTTTTTTTTTTTTTAGAAAACACTTTAAAGACTTTGTATATCGCGGAAAAGAAATTCAAGTAAAGGAATAAAATACGATCAATTTTAAAATATTCCGTCCATAAAAAGTAATTTGAATAGGAATTTCTTTTGATATTACAATATTTACATATACGACATACTAAGCTTGAATGGCCTTCTAAGTGAGCAAAAAACACTGTTATTTTAGCTTAAAATTATCAAAACTCTGAAAAATTTATTCAAAAAAAAAAAATTCGGAAAAGTCAATAAATGATCAGCACAAAATTTTTATAGCACAATTTATTTATTTATACTTCCATTTTCCAGTTTAAAGAATTATTTAATTATTTCCTCAAACTCGCTAAATAGGAATGGGTTAATGTATATAATATCGAAAAAGAGGACTATAAAAAGTTCTGCAACAAAGAAAAAAATTTTTATTAGAAGACGCAACACTGCAAGTTATAAGTTGGTATTGTATATTTTTAAAATAATTATCTTATCTATCGATAAGATTTGTTCAGAATTAAATTTTTTTAGGATTGCAATATAATAGCCAAATTTAATGGCGACCAAAACCAAATTTTAGCCGCAGTTCAGGTGAATTTGTGACGAAATCGATATGATTAATAATATGACATGGCAACAAAATTATTTAAAATGTATTATATTATGAGATATTGTAAATAATAGTCTTAATGCTTTGCCTTTGTATTTGATATTTCCTTTGGAATTGCAGAAGCCGTTTTTTCTAAATTGCTATGGAAATATATATAAAACAATTTATATTGTTATTATTGTAATGTACAAGCAATGTAGCATTTTATATAAATTTTGTTCTTACTTTCATTCTTATTGTTCCTTATTGTCAAAAAATATCTCTCAACATTTAGATTTGAATCCTGAATTTCATTTTGTTATCTCCAAAGTTATTGTCGTTTGTTGTAACATATATTATATCGTTTGATTGTTTAAAATCGATTTCGATTTTGACAATTTAACAAGTTTCGATTCCAACTCTTAAACGAGATATAAATGTAGCAAATTTTCGTTAAAGGGATATTTAAACATTTACGGCCAACCAATATTCAAAAATAAGATGAAGGCTACTAGTATCACAAAGATTAATACATTTTTAAAAGAATTGTTGGTTCAGATAATCATTTTAAGTCAAATATCTTAATCAAATTTTGTGAACTCAGAGATGGTCTTTTATAAAATTATAGTTATTTTCATTATTCTAAAAGTTCTTTTAGATAATTAAATACACAATCCTATTATAATAATTTTAAATTCAATCATAAATCAAACAAACACCACGTACTCAAAATAATGAAGTTTAGGTCGTCAATCTCAGAGGAAAGTAGTTCAATAATGTTTAATTGTTTGTATATAAATTTTACTGCAGAAATCATAGTATTCTGCAATATTCAATGATTCCGTGAAGTGTTGCTACTTTTGAAATTAGTAAAGCCGTCATTGATGCAGCAAAATAAACAAATGTATTGCATGTAAACAAATAAAATTTTTTTGCAATGGGCAAATAATTTTATCAATTAAACTGCGCCTTTTTAATCACAAGATATTACCATTTTAAAATTTATTTGAGTGATGTAATATTTTTTTGGCGCCACTATACTAACGCTAACTAATAATATATAAAGATTGACATTTTGGCATGTGATCATGTTGTAATACTCGATTTAAAGTCGAGAATTCGTGAGAAAAATCTTGGACGATGGAATCATGACTGACAGACTTGTAATTTGTATTGATAAATTAAATAATAAACTGAAGGATTTATTAGAAGAAAATAAGAGGCTTAAACAACAACATGAAAATCTTCAAGAAGAAAACAGAGAAACCTTACGTATTAATTCTAAACAAAAAGAAATGCTTCAAGAAAGAGATAAGCAATTTGAAAAGCTAGTTATAAATTTGGAAAAGCAAAAATTAGAAGGAAAAAAAAGATTTAAACAACTACACAACAAGCTTCTAGAAGAAAATAAAGAATTCTCACGTAATAATTCCGAATTAAAAGCAAAACTTCAAGAAAATGATGAACAATTAAAAAAGTTTCAACAAGAAGTTCTAAGTTATGAAAAACAAAAAGTAGAAATCGAAGTAATTTCTCAAAATTTAGAAAAATCTTTAGAATTGTTGGAATTAGATGATGAAGTTAATGAGAATGAAATTTAAATTTTTAAATAATATAATAAATCATTCATAATTGAAAGTAGTGAACAAAAATATAATATAAACTAAGTGATATCGAAAATTCCGTGGAATTTATATAATATAGTTTTAGTAGCAGAAGAATTTTTACTGTGAAGATTGTATGAAAATCAGGATCTCACACATAAATATTAATATTTTTATTATTACATAATAAATATTCTGAATATTTTCTAAATTTTTATTCATGATGAGGCTATGGATGGTCGGTTTTTGATTGTAGAATATGTCACTTGAAGATTACTATTTTCTTTTTTATTGACAAACACTTTAATTATTCATTCTTTTTAAATTGAGCTAATGAGCTGAAAGGAAAAATTATCAAAATCGCAAGATGCGTTCAACGATGTATAGTTATGTTAACGTCACTTTTTTGAAGTATTGTATTATATCTTCTCTCTAATAATCTCTAATAAAAAAACCATTCAAAGAAAGACTTGATATTGAAAGTATAAAATTCGTTTATCAGATATTTTTCCAGCAAGTATAAGGATTTAAATATGATTGACTTTTTAGGCTAGATAAGCAAAATCAAAAGTCGTAGACCTTCTTACAAAACAAGGTTTATTAATAGGGGCCTCAGTTTATCATTTTCAAGTATCTTGCTATTTAAATTATAATCATCAAAAGATCGAAATCTCAATTCAAAAGAAGGGCACCACATTAAGAATATTCCAACATTACTATGTTTATAATTAGTTTTAATGAAGCAATAGCATCAAGAGATTTAATTAATTATAATTTATTTAACAATCCGAATAATTATACTCAAGCTTTTGAATAGCCAAGAATTACAAATATAACTTCGTATATAGAATTCAAATTAATAGACTAATTCTTGTAATATTAGTTCCTTTTTTTTGCATAAAGAAAAATTCTTTAATTATTATAGTTTGTACTTAAAAAAAAATCTTGAATATTTAAATAATAATACATAACACCTTCTAATCGATTGGAATGTCTGAATCAAATAATTTAGAATCTTGAATTTATTAATTTATTAAATTAGTATTTATCGAGACGATTTTAAAAATTAATATAAATTACTTTCACAATTCTCACCTTTCTCAAGGTATGAAGTAATAAGAGCGGAATTATAGGGTTCGTTGGATCTTTAAATGAAAAGCTCTACTTGTATATACAAGCATAAGGATTTGCTTTACTTGAAATTGATGTATTTGTACAGTATCTCTTTATTAGCTTCTTTAAATCCTTCCGCTATTTCTTTTCCATAATATGCATATTTTTCAGTATCTGTATAAACATTATAATTAACAGAAAGCTTCTAAAAATTTAAAATACCACACAATTCTTCGGTAGTTGGTCTTTGATTTGGATTAGCATTCATACACCTATAAGCCAATTTTTTATAAAATTCAGGAGTTTCTTTTCCAAATTCTGGACGAAGTTCATTACATAGATCTAAGGCTAAAGTTAAGTTATGTTTTCTATTATAAAATGGAAGATTCCCAGATGACAATTCGGCCATAATTAAACCATAACTATAGATATCTGAAGCTTTGTATATGTTTCTCTATTCAAGACTTCTGGAGCATATATGGTAATACTCCATGAATGTTATTATCCGAATTTTGCTTATCTGCCGGTCCTGATAATCCAAATTCTGAATTATCATTTGATAAAATATGAAAATCCTTATGACAATATCCTAATCGTGTAAATATGAAGGTCAAAAGTTATACCAAGTAATAAATTAATTTTATATGGCCATATTAGTTTATTTGAAAGAATACTTCTCAAATTTCCTTTATTTACAAATGTTACAATCCTAATAAATTCTTTGGTTTCTGGATCCTTAGTTATTTAAGATCCATTTAACTTTTTCAAAGCAACCATCATAGCTTTTGGAGCTATCCATCACCTTGTTTTTCAAAATTTGAATTACCGTCCATCCATATTGCATCATAACTTTGCAAATCCCCCTTACCGATTTCTTTTATATTTCTTAATCTATCATAAGGTACCCATTCAAGAAAATTTTTTTGAACTTTATGTCTTGCATCATACATATTATCTTTGATGAACTTATCAATGTCATAATTTTCACTTGCAATTATATTCCGAGGATCACATTCTTTACACCAAAATTTTTTAGAAAATGGTTTATTGCAATAAGAACGACTTGTGGTTCATTTTCATCCATATTCTTAAAAAAATATTCTTTGGATAAATTTGTAAAATATTTTTATATTAATTTTTTAATAAGGAAATATTCCAAATTAAAAATTTAACACCAATTATAATCTATGTAATTAATTTTGAGTTACGTAAAAAATATACATTTTTTACCAATAATATATACAGTAGAGTTCCGCTTGAAATTCAAATTGAGTTTCAAATATTTGAAGCGAATATTCGAATATTATACAAAGGATAATTCCATTATTTTTATTCTCATTACGTCGGCGGTTTGCCTTGTGTCACGTTAGAATCGACAAAAAAAAAAAAATGTCATAAAATTTGTGCCGATCATTTATTATTGACTCGTATCCCCCGAATTTTTTTTTTTTGAATAAACTTAACAAAGAACTTTTAAGACCTTTTTAAGCTCTAAAGACCGTGATTTACTTGATTTGCTTGATTTATAGATTAACTTAGAAGGTAATTCGAGAATATTTTAAATTACTTTTTAGAGAAGGAATATTTTAAATTGATCAAATACAAATTATTCTATTGGATGATTTTTTTTTAAAAAACAAAAACGAAAATGATTTACTATATGCATATGTATAATTTTTTATGAATTCATTCTTTTTTTTCTTTAAAAAAAAAATCTATTTAATTACGATCTGTCTAATTAAAAAATAAAAATAATTTCTTTTGTAAAACAAATTTCATTACTTTATTTTAATCTTGTTTATACGCCTTAAAAAAAAATCTTAAAGCAAATTTATTTTATTTAATGGTTTTATTAGCGGTTGTCGATCTCGAATACTAATGACCTGGTGGCTTAGAAATTTCATTTAATACAAAAAATGATCTACTAATTGCATTTTTTTTCTTTTCTCCAAGAATATACAATATACTGTAATTAATTTATTTAATCAATCAAAATGCAAGTTGCCAATAATTCAAATGAGTCTGTTGAAGAATATATCTCAAGAAAAAATATCATATGTTATGAATTTAAATAATTTAGCAATTTTCAAGAAATTGGTACAGGCGGCTTTGGGAAAGTCTATCGTGCAAATTGGAAAAGTTCAAATCAACATTTTGCGTTAAAATCATTTCATAACATTAGTAATAATACCATTAAAAAAATTATTCATGAGGTAAGTACAAAATAACAGATTCTATTTCTGTTCACTTCGATTATTTCGGTCTATTTAATATAAAATCTATTGTATATTAAGCTAATATTTATATTCTAATAATTTAGCTTGAACTTCAACTGGAGGTTGATTTTCATAGCAATGTCATCCGATTTTTGGGAATTACATCATTATTTAATTTATTTATAATTTTTTTTTTTTAAAAAAAATTAGAAAATCAAAGTGATCAATTGAAAAAATATTGGTTAGTAATGGAATATGCTGACGGAGGTGCGCTTAAAAAATATTTGAAGGAAAATTATGATAAGCTTGCTTGGGAGATACATACAACTTGACATACCAATTGTCTTGTGCTGTATCGTGTTTACATAACGAAGGAATTTTGCATCGATATTTGGTAAATTTATATAATAAGTATTCTCTTACGAATATTTCTGTTTATAATTAACAATTTTTTTTTACAGTATATGCTTTAAATAGCATTCCGGAAATATATTAATTCATCAAGGTGTCATAAAACTAGCCGACTTTGGATTATCGAAAAGGATAGAAGCGGAAACTAATCAGTCAAAAACTTTTGGAGTAATTCCTTATGTTGACCCAAAATTTTTTAACAGACGAAGAAATGACAATACTTCACCACAATTTAAACTCAACGAAAAAAGCGACGTTTACAGTTCATGTGGGAGATATCAAGCGGTCGACCTCCTTTTTATAATAAGGATGAAGAATACGACATAAGTTTAGCTATCGAAATTTTGAGGACTTAGAGAAAGAATCATTCCTGGCACACCTGAAGATTATGTGAATATCTACACTGGTAAATAGTTGATTATAAAATTATTTATAAGAATATATAATGATTATTAAATTTTTATCTAATTAATTTCAGGGTGCTGCTGGGATAATGAGCCAGATAATCGTCCATCAATGGATCAAGTAGTTGATAAATTAAATGCAATTATATCGAAAACAAACAAAATAGAAAACAATCAAATGAATAATTACGAATCAAATAACTACGAAGCTATTTCTAACGTAAATAATTTATTAGAAGATTCTCAAATTATTCGATTTGATCAAATTAATTATCAAAAGAATAATAATGTTTCAAATAAGTTCGAATTTATTCGTCAATTTGATCAGATGAAAATAGATGATGTATCCAATATTATTTATGATGATATTATTGAAAGTTTAAGGATTACAGAATCTAATAAGGATGACATATTAAATGCCTTAGGAGGATTACAAAGACATCGAAAATTAACGGAACTTGACTATTCTGATACTCCGATAACTATCCTACCAACATTATCCAACTCCTTAATAGATCTCTGGTGTTTTAATACTCCAATAACTATCCTACCAATATTACCAAACTCCTTAATAAATCTCCTTTATTATAATACCCAAATAACTAGCCTACCAACATTACCCAACTCCCTAACGGAACTCCATTGCTTTTCTACTAATCTAACTATCCTACCAACTTTACCCAACTTCTTAACGGAACTTATTTGCTCTGATACTCCAATAACCATCCTACCAACTTTACCCAACTCCTTAACAGAACTTAACTGCTCTTATACTAAAATAAAAATCCTACCAACTTTACCCAACTCTTTAACTTATCTTGACTGTAATAATACTCGAATAACTAGCTTACCAAATGTACCCGATTCCTTAAGGGATATATTTCCTAAATCTTTAAAGACTTTTCAAAAATCTCATAAATACTGTACTATTTTCTAAATATTTAACCTTCTGTCAAGTATGCGTGATCCATGCGCGCCGATCTACAACAGTCAACTTATTTGGTTAACAAATCTGACGAATATGATATTTATTATATTTGTTAGATTTATTATATTTAGTTTGTTTATATTAGATAGATTTATTATATTTATTATATTTATTACATTATCATATATATAAATAGGACATATTTTATTTCTATTTGATTATTTTATATAAGTACTCTGTAACTTTGCCTTGGAAAAGGGCAGAGTCGTTACCAATCTCTAATAAAACAATAACTTTTATCTCTTGAACTTAAATCTCTGCTCATTTATAATTCATTCTTCTTTAAATTATATCAATAAAGTTGAGCTGACCCTTCATATAATTAATTCGTGTCTATTTCTTTCATAGTTTAAACGTAATTAAACTCAATGTTAGCAAATAATTTGTGTTAGCGTGGAACCTTAACAACTTACAAATATAAAATTCCGATTAGTAAACCTTGCAATATAATACTTAAACAAAAATCTTTTTTTTTACTCTTACGAATTAAGTCGTTTCTTGTAATTGGCAATATGAATATTAAAATCCTACGATGGCGTAAGTTCAAAAGTATTGAAGGTAAGATTATTATTTTCATTTATATATTTTTGAATTATCCTTGTGTGTAAAGAAAGTTATTTTATCATTTTAATAAATAAGATTGAAAAGTGTGAAGGATATTCTTATTCATTTATGAAAATAAATAATAAACATATACAAGAAAATTAATTTTATTCAGAAAATAATTTAAACGAACACTAATTGATAAAGTTCTCGTTTCAAAACATGAATTTATCACATCATCCATGAAAAATGTATCAAATTGAGTTTCTATCTCTTTAAATCTAAAGAAACTATCTTTTACTACAAAAAAAAGGTTTTAAACGCATTCCATGGACAATATAGTGTTTTATTCAATTAATAAAGTTGCTATCATTATCATATTTATGTTAAAGCATCATGTTTTAATTGATCTTTCTAATAATTTCTATTTAATACTTTTATTAGTACTGATAAAATAAAGTATTAAAATACTATTTTAAATTGAAAGTAATTTATTAATAATCGGGCGAAAATAATTTAGGAGAAACATTTGAAAAATGACTGAAAATTACTTAGATCCAATTATATTTCACCGAGACCTAAATTTAAAATATAACAATTCGTTGAATCGTAAAATAAAAATGTGAAGCAAGAAAATTCCTTGTGTTCTTAAAAGTTGTAAATCAAAACATTATCGTTTGATTATATTATATTATAATAATAAGAGCATAGCATCTTCGATATATTGCTATACTACAATTATTTTTAATATGGAAAAACGTTTCTAAAAGAGCTGAATGTTGTATCGAGTAATTATAAATTTAAATGTTTATAATTTAGTGCGTTTTTGTATTTTGTGCTTTGGCGTTCTTAAAATAAAAAAAATAGAATTAACGTCTCACGATGCGATGTTTGAAAAAAAACGTGGATGATCGTTAAAATATAATAGGAAAAAAACTAAGATCTTCCTTTTCATTACCTATGATCGCCATTCATTTGTGTGACCGATAACGATAAGAATATATTAAATTCAACAAATGACATCTTATCTCTTTTCAATTTATTGAGATAAAATAAAATGCATTGGTAAATAATTGTTTATTTATCAGAAGAAATTAAAAATTCGATAATTTGATCACCATTTATACATAAAACAATCGGAAAATTTTATTATTTATTTTATGAGGATAAATAATGAATTATTAATTCGATTACATTAACAAAATCTTATCTTTTAAGATAAATAAAAATAATTACTTTTTAATAATTGTTAAAATTCCTTATAAAATATCGATTCAAACCCAATTCATTTTGCTGAAAAATATTATCGTTAAAAAAAAATTTATTTATTCCCAAAGAAATTTCGAAATGCATACACGACGTGCTAGAATGATATCCACCCGTTCGACATTATGTAACTTTTTAAATCACATAAATTACCACGACCTCTATATTCTTCCCTACAACAGTAATGCAAATGTACTTGCAGCTCATGCAAGGAACGGGAGAATGACTCAAATATTAACGGGAAAACAAATAATGAAGCAGAATGTGAAACGCGAAGCAAATAGGTTACGATTACGATCACATAATCGACAATATATAATCAATCTAGCAACAGAAGTGATTTGGAATTTACGATACACACAATTTCAAAGACAGAGATTTATAAATTTAGCTAATAATGCGAATTCTATAAATCAAAGTTTAACTCCTGTTTACAATAATGACACACTTTTTCGGATATCAAGAATCAATACTCCACAAACGGCCATCAATCAACTTGAGCGAGACTTTTATAATGGAAGTAACTTTTGCAATAACAGCAGTTACGATTCTTTACCTTTTCTTTAGAATTCATTTTCAAAAATTGTAATGTTTTTATTACAAATAGATTATAACTTTTATAGAAACCTTTTCATTTTTAAGTAAGGACGCCCTTTTATGTTCAATAAGATTATTATACTTATGTAAACAAATATGACTAAATGCCCATTATTAGATCATGTGATCACCGCCATATCGAATCTTTAATACGAACCAAAGCACAAACACAGATTAAATCATTATGGTATGATAAATTATAAACTAAGAGGAAAATAATTATGCATGGCGCAGTGACTATTATTTTTTCGTATAATATTTTTTATAATTTGTTGTATAAAAAAAAGAATTAAAAAATTAACAGAGTAAATTCGTAATCATAACGTCAAAACTAAGGTCATAAACTTAACATTTTAATAATTTAAATATGATAAGCGCGTTTATTCCAGACCGAAAATCATATAATAATATTAAATAGTTTAGAATTTGTTACTCGATAAACTCGTCTTAAATTTACGAAGATACGAAAATTATAGCTTTAAAAAATACAAATATTTGTATAAAGGTTTACTAGAATCAATTTTTCAAATTATTTATTTAAAAGATTATATCCCATGAAATCTTAAATACAATAATTACTTAGGAATAAATGTTGTGTTAATATTCTTTACACTCGCCTATATTTTGTATTAAATCTAGTTAGGAATAAAATAAACATTAATAAATTAAAATATTATAAAATATAAATACCATTTGAAATATCTGACATATTGATTTTTGTAAAATCAATGATTAAAGACTCTATATTATAATTTAAAATAAATTATTGATTAAATTATAAATTTACATTTTTTTTCACTTGAAAAGAAATAAACCTACCAGAATATCCCGAGAAATTCACATAGTCAACATTTTTTGGATCTGGCAGACTTTTAAAATCTAAAAGCCTACTTGTAAAAATTGCTTGAGAATGTGATTTATATGATAGAGAACCGACAGATGACG